GCTCCATCGGTTGCGCGTACCCATTCACCCGTGTTGTGGCCTTTTCATTGCATCCGCGACGCAAAGTGTCTTCGACCAGACGAAATCGAATCGACAGGTCTTTTGCATCGACTCTTCGGCGTGCTACTCGTATACCTCCAGGCGCGCGAATCTAGCACAATGGCTGCGGACCCCAGCCATAACGTGCACCCGGACTTGGTATGATGTGACAGCGATGGCAAAACGTTGGCCCTTTAAGTCAGACGCAAAGCAACTAACCTTTTCTTTCCTGTCACCCACAGCTCCCGCACATCCACCTCATCAGCGCGTACCGCTACCCCCTCGTACCGCGCTTTGGCATCCCCGAAGTGACCGAGTGGCTGCTCAACTCGCCACGCATCGCCCGCGACGGTGCACCCTTTTTCTGGACGTTTCTCGACACGCCTCAGGATGGCTCCATCATCTTGACCTGGCAGCCGCTGCAGCGCATGGGCACCGAATTTGCGTCTGACGGGTACATCTGGCCGCGCGGCGAGACGTTTTACCAGCATGAGATCCGCGACGGCCTGATTCTGGAGGTGTTCCACCAGCCCATGGGCTACCGCCCGGGCGAGGAGTACGCCACCCACTCGCGGCGGCGCTTCCGTCTCATGCCACCCAAGGTACCGAACCCCAACGCGCCCCAGGTCGACCCCAGCCTGTGGCTCGTCCACTACGGCCCCGTCGACGAGCGCGAGCCGACGCCCGTCAAGAAGATCCGACTCGACGCGCGTCTGCGCGCCATGATGGACCACCGCCAGAACCTGCAGCGCGCCGGCCAGATCACGCGCAAGGAGTTTATGCTGTCGGACCGCGTCAACTGGCCGCAGATTCCGCTGCCGCGCGATGCCCGCGTGCCGCCCGGCTACGCGACCGCCGGCGTGCCCCAGCAGATGGCGTACCCGCCGAACGCAGGTGCCGCCGGAGGCGGCAGCCTCGCGCCGCCGCCTCCAGCCAAGCGCGCGCGGCACTCGGCAGCCAACGCGGCCGCCAACGCTGCCGCTGCAGCCGCCGCAGCCGCCGGCGGTGGGCCGGGCGGCCACGGCCCCTCGCCCATGGACGCAGCAATTTATGACGACGAGGAGGAGTACACGCGCGGCGACATGTTTGATGTCATCACCCCGCGCGACGTCAGCCTCGACCGCTACAAGCAGAACCACGAGTGGATGGAGGAGGTCATCTCGTCGCCGTACCGCATCAACCAAATTGGGTACGCAGACCTGGGCCTCGGGCTCAAGGGCGAGCTGGCGCCGATCACGGAAGGCATCTTTGAGGGCCAGGCCTTTGACGCATCGCAACGCGTACCCAAGAACCCGTATGTGGGCCGCCTGGATGCTGGCCTCGCCGCCGACTTCCGCAAGCGGGTGGAGGACAAGATCTCGGCAACGAACGACGATATTGCCGAGATGAAGGCGCAGCACGAGAAGCTGGTGGCCAGCCTGCGCACCAACTCAGCCATGAAGAAGGCCGAGCACGATTTGCGGTTTACGGCCGAGGAGACGGGGCCCGAGATCTGGCGCGTGGAGGGTCGTCTTCACGGCGACGACGACGCAGCGGCGAACAATGGGGCGGCCCGTGGCGACGCGTCTGGCGACGGCCACTGGAGCCACCAGAAGCACCAGAAGACGGTCGATGAGGTCGTGTCGCATGTGGAGAGCACATTGGGCCGCAAGGTAGTCGCGTCGGGTGCGGTGGTGCGCGTGCAGGACGGTGGCTATCGGGAACCGTCGCCGGAGCCCGAACCGGAGCCCGAGCCGGAGCTGGCGCCTGAGGTGCCTCTGATCAGCGCCCCTGACGGCACAGGATTGACGGCACCAGGCAGCGTGTCTCTTTCACAACACCCGTCGCCCGCCGGCTCGCAGCTGAGTGGGATCTTGATTGGCGACGCTGACATGGATATGGGTGACACGGCGGCCGGTATGCTGGACCAGATGGAGTCGGTGTTCTCCCCGGCATCGACGCCTATTAACTTCCCGACACCGGGGGCACAAGCGCCGGCTGCACCGCCTCCTGCTTCAGGCCTGTCCAACGTGGCTACAGCGACGGGCGCTGCCGGTCCGACTGCCCCGACAGCTATCGGTGCTGCTGGTTCCGGCACAGGCGCACCTAGGCAAGCAGCTGGCGATGTGGCCATGGCTGATGCCGCTGGTCAGTCCCAGCCTGGTGCGGGCCCCACTGCTGGCGGTGCCGACGACTGGGTCGTGGTGCCCCCTGGTGGCGATGGGCCCCCCGCAGGCGCTTCTGGTGCGGCACCCAACGCGACGACAGCTGCTGCCGGCACAGCACCAGTACCGCCGTCAACGTCAGCGGTACCTACACAGCCTGTCAAGTCGCCCCTGGCGGCTTTAGGTGGCGGCAGCAAGCCCGAGTCGGCTGTGCCTACGCCGGGTGCCGGTGCTGTCGTCGATAGCGACTTTGGCTCACTTGCCGATATGTCGACAGGCGGCGACCCGCTGGCAAGCATCGACGACGGCCTCGACCTGAACATGGACATGGACGACTCGGCCTTTGGTGACGCCTTCCACGGCAGCGGGGACAACTAGATCTAGTCCGCGCAGTTTTGCGGCAGGAGAGAAGGACTACGGCGATACTAGGGAAGAGGATTGTTTACTTTCTTTTGTCCTGCTTGACTTTGGCGTCCGAGAGATTCAGACTTTTATTTCCTTTTTGTTAGTTTATTAGTCGGTTGAAATTTTGCCGTTACGCGTTTTTGTAGGAGAAAATATCAGTGCTCATGGGGAGCACCATTTTTGTCGACCTTTTTATATTTATATCAATGTACTCATATTGTCTAATACCGTCTTGTATTTTACGTCTCTTGTACGCCTATCCAAACATTGGCCCTGGGCGATTCGTCTTGTCTTTACGACGAGATGAGATGGATGTAATGCAACTCTATTGACGCCGAAAGGGTGCGGACGGCTTCCGCTCTAATGAAAGTGCATAAAAGCAAAGGACAACTGCCAATGCATATTTCATGGGAATCACAGCGAAGCTCACGACAAGTCACAGAAACATGGCTGAATAAATGTAATACGCAATGTCGAGCCAGGCAGTCACAATTCGCCGGTTTCTGTGAGGAGACGCAGTGTGATGCGCGTTTCAGCCAAGATAGCGCTGCGTGTCAGAGCCGCAACATGGACCCTTTTTTAGGGAGGAAGGGCAAAACGACGAGGCAGGAGGCGGCCGTACCCGCTTTTAGTGGCTTTTAACGAAAGGCGTACCTTCCCCATACGACCCTATGACGGACTACACCCTACTTTGGGCCCCGAAAGAATGGCTTCCTCTCTATTTCTACCAGTCTGCCAATTCGCTGAGAATTACGGAGTACGTGCAGGGTTAAGAGAGAGAATAAAGCTTCGATTAGCGTCGCCTGGAGCCCTGAGTTTAAACGGGCCCCTTGTTGCTTCTCGAGCGGTCGAGACTTTGACCAAGGCAAGGGGATGCTTTTTTTTTCTTTTCTTTTTCCTTCACCTTCTCGTTCGTCCACGATGCCCTGTCTGTCCTCATCCTTTCTCGCTTGTTTTCTCTTCCGAACAAGACCCTTGCCAGACTTGACGTCGGCTCGCCGTCGTCCCAGGAGCTCGGGGGGCAGCTGTGTCCAATGTCACTCTGGCAATGGCGAGAGGTTGTCTTTTTCTTCCTGTAGATTCAGCCTTCCACATGTCCTTTCCGTGATCATGACCTCTCATGTTATAACCATTATTCATTTGGTGACCTAGGACGCGTCATGCAGATGTCCGTCCGCAGCCACCATTACCAGCCCAATGTGCCGTGATGTGCACTCCAGACGGCTAAGAATAGGACATCAAGCAATCCATATCCAGTACGATGTGCTCCGTAAAGAGAACGTGCTTCATGCGCTGAGAGGTGAGTGAGAAACAGATGCGTCAGTTGCACTCCGTAGTTCGATGCGTGCTGGGTCGTTTCAGGCTCGGGTCACAGAATGCCAAGACATGTTTTGTTATGCCCTGCATGTTGAGCTTCTTTTTTTATGTCGCCTTGTCTTTCCTGCCGTTTTTTTCGTCTCTTTTGCACCCCACTCCAAACCACCATCATGAGACGCACCCGCTTCTCACGGTGCACGCCTGCAGTGGCCATGCCTAGGAGTGACCTCGAGAAGCCCCGTGTTTCCGCTGCTCCACGTGTACCCTTTTGTTGTCCGTCGTATTTGGCCTCTCGTTCCACGTCGCTCACCTTTCCTTTTTGTTTCCTTGGACACATTTTGCCCTCAGACTCCAAGTGTCGCAAATCATTGACGCTCTCGACTTCATCCGTTCACTGAATTTCACGCCCCTTGGCCATAGACTCCCCTGGCGAACCTGTCGTCTCGGCATTCGTAGTTGATTCCTCGGCCCATTGCTGACTGCCGCTTGCTGCCGACCAGCCCTTCTCGATGCCCTGTAGTCTACGCATTCTGGATTAAACGTCATTCTCACTTTCGAACCCTGTTCGTTCCATGCGGCTGTCTGTCAACCCGGAACCCCATGGCCGGCTCCATGGGAAACTCCACGTTTCTGTCTTATGCCTGTCTTCTCGTGACTTTACCTGCCATACGTTCTGCCTTTTGTCTCTACCTTTCCTCTTCCTCCTGATTTTCTTTTCTCGTTCTCGTTTCTTCCTCTTTTCCTTTCTTTCCCTTCATCCAGCACTGGTCTGTAGTTTCGTGGCTGTTCTTTTGTTTGTCGGCGACAACATTTCCCTTCATTTCGCTTTCTCTTCTTCGTCTTCATTTCTCTTCTTCTCCTTTCTTTATCACCAACCACTGCAGTGCAGGCTTTTTTCCTGGGTTGATCCTATTTATTTTATACAATACTGTTTTAACTCAAATCACTCAATCACTTGATCACCTTTTTCTGGTCTGTCAGTTTCTTCTTTTCGTACTTTTTTTTATCGAGTCGACCCCGGCGGTTGTGTACATTTTATATACATCATTTTCTTATTCGGTATCCAACTGGATTTTCTATACAAAAACAGCCACGATGCATTTCTCCGCAACGGCTTTGACGACGGTGCTCCTGGCCGCCTCGGTCATGGCCAATGGCAACAACCAGCAGCAGCAGAACAACAACCAACAGAACAACAACAATAACAACAAGGCCATCGCCAATGCCGCCACCGCCAACATCAACACCTTGAAGGCTAATCTCGCCAAGGGTGCCAAGGGCGCCAAGGGCACCAACAGCTTCAACAATACCGGCGGCGGCGCCACCGCGGTCACCGCCAACGCTGCCACGGCGGGTGGCCTCACCAACAACGCTGCCGCCGCGTCGGCCGCCTTGGCTGGAAACGGCGGCGGCCTCAAGCCTCTGCCGGGTCTGCAGACGGCACTTCCGGCGGGAAGCTCGCTGAAGCCGCTACCTAACCTGGCGGGTGCAACGGGAGCGACGGCGACAGCTGCAGCGGCTGCAGCAGCCGCAACAGCCGCAACCGGTGTGGCCAACGCCAACACGGCGGCCCTCAAGCCTCTTGGTGGCACGGCGGCGGTCGCTTCGGGTCCGCTGAAGCCGCTGGGCAGCGCGTCCGTCTCGGCGGCTCTCCAGTCGGTGCAGACGGCCGCGGCGGCGACTGCTGCTGCTGGTTCGACTGGTGCTGGCGTCAAAATCATTAGCGGTGCCAGCGCCAACGCCAACGCCAACGCGGCCACGGCTGCCGCCGTCGCCGGAACCGGTGTGGCCCCTCCTGCTATCGGCACTGCTGCCGGTGGTGCGCTGACGCCTCTCGGATCGACTGCCGCTGTTGCTGCCTCTGCGACCCCGGCTGCGGTTGTGGGCTCGTCTACTGGCTCGTCTGCCGGCTCGGCAGCTGGTGCTGCTGCTGCCGGAGCTGCTGCCGGAGCCGCTGTCGGTGCTGCTGGTGCCGCTGGTGCCGGAGCCGTGGCGGCCGCTGACACCGAAACGCTCAAGCCCCTGCCCGGTACGATTGTCACCAGCGATGCGACGCTCGACCCTCTGCCGACCGAGACGACGACGGAGAACAACGCGGGCGGTGCGACTCAGCAGATGACGGGTGCGGCCGAGACGACGACATCCTCCTCGACTGGCGTCGCTGGCGAGACCGGCGCGGCCGGCAGCGGTGTGTCGACCATGGTGATGACGACCAACGGACAGACCATCACGATGACAATGACGGGCTCGATGACCATGGCGACGGCCAAGACAACGGCAACGGCGACGGGCCAGGGCAGCAGCACCAGCAGCGGCACCGTGTCTACGAGTGGTGCGGCACCGGCCGCGGCGCTGATGATGGCTGGCTCGGCCGGGTCGGTGGTTGTGGCACTGGGTGCGGCCGTTGTAGGCCTGGCGGTGATGCTGATGTAAGGAGTTGGACTGCGAGCTGTCGTCGGTTTTTGTTAGTGGCCTCCATGGTCCTGGGTGGTTAAAATCTTAGATAGAACTTGAGTCTATCTCTATCTCGGGTCTTTTTTCTTTTCATCGCTTAGTTGACTCTCACGCTCGTCATTCTCTTCACTTCATTTTCATAGGTAGACATATACGATTTCCAATATAAGGGTTTATTTTTAAAATGGGTTTATTGTTCTCAAGAAAAGAAGATCAACGTATGGGCCAACGAGACTCTGACGAGCTCGCGGCAATAGAAAGTAAAGATTTGCGTCCGGGTAGTTGCAAAAATGCATAGGCAATATATTCCAAGTGCCGTAGCTTGCACTTGCAAACTCCCGCTTTCCGGGGCCGTTACAACCGGCCTAGGCGGCTTCAAGCAGTCAACAGCTTAGAAAAGCTTGTGCTCAAGGGTCATGTCCGACTCGGGCTCGAGACCGATGCAGGCGCGGAAGATGTTGGTCAGGGCGGCGCGCTGCTTGGCCAGGGCGTTGACGACGGGGGTACCAGGCGGGGTCAAGGGCGCCTTCAGCATGTAGCTGAGCACGCTGAGCACGGAGTGGAAGCTCTTGTACTCGGCGGCGCCGTTGGCGCGCCACTGGATGCGGGTCATCATCTCGCCAATGAGCACCAGATCAATGATGAGGGGCGAGGCCAGCAGCGAGTCCTCGCAGACGTTGAACAGGCTGATGGTCTGGTGGCCGCCCAAGAAGATCTCGGCGTAGTACTCGTCGAGGGCGCGCTTGTTGTCGCCGACAGCGGGCATGTACTTGATGACAACCGTGTGGTCGGGCTTCTCGCCAGGCTTGTACAGCACGGTGTTGGCCTCCACCATGTCGTCGACCACATTGGACTTGGAGATTTCCTTGGACCGGAACTGGCGCTGCGAGCTCAGGTTCTTGCCGTCGTTGTTGCCCAGGTGGTTGTAGCTGGCAATCGACGTCAGCCGGATACCGGCGTTGATCAGGAAGTCAACGAGGGCCGACTTCATCTTCGTCTGGCCGGACTTGAAGTCGTCGCCACCAATGAACGCGTTGTGGCGCTCGGCCAGGTCAATGGCGCCCGGAACAAACGTGTTCTGGGGCGAGCCGTTGATGAAAGGCGCGTTCTCGAGGATCGAGGCGACTGCGAAAACCGTCGAGGGAGCCACCTCCTCGTGGCCGGCCTTGATGGCAGCCAACAGGTTGTCAGCAGTGTCGTTGACGCCCGCAATGATGTCGGCGAAGCGCTCGGTGTTGGCGGTCCACAGCACAATGACCTTGTCCAGGTTGTTAGCGGCCTTGAACTCGCGGATGTCGGCACGCAGCTTCTCGACGTGAGCCCACTCGGCCTTGGAGCCGGGGAGGACGTTGTCGGCGCGGTCCTCCTGGTTGGCGGCAATGAAATCCGGGTAGTAGATGCTGGGCAGAGGAACCATGGCAGCCATCTCCTTTTGGACCATCTGCTTGAGCGTGGGCTCGAGGACGGCGGCACGGTCCATGGACTGGGCCAAGTTCAGGCTGCTAATGTCCCAGCCACCAATGACAAGGTCATTGGGGTGGACCATGGGCAGAACATCGTGGAAGGGGATGTTGACGTCACGGTTGGTGGCGGCGTCCGTGCCCAGCTTGAGGGTCGAGCCCATGACAATGGAGCCGTAGTAGTTGGCGGCACGGGGGCCCTCACGGGTATCCCAGGTCAGGCCACGGCGGTTGGCAATGATGCCGGCGGTGACGGTCGAGCCGTTGTTGCCGCCCCAGCCGACCAGCATGACACCGGTCTTGGGGACGGCGCGCTCGGTCTTGAAGTCGTAGAGCGTCTCCTTGGGCGTGGCCGTGAAGCGGCCGTCAGCACCCGTGGTGACGGAGGTCGTGCGGTACGTGTACTTGGACTCAATGGTGCTGTCCGTGTACGTCACGTTGGGCGAGCTGACAGTGAAAAGGTTGCCGGCGGCGGCGGCAGTCTGGCCGTTGCGGCCGTTGATCGGTCCATCTCCGTTGCTGGAGGAGTCGATTTCAGCGTGGGGAGCCATTTTTGAAATGAGACTTGACGGGATTGGAGATGTTGGTTGGCGGTTGCTTGCTTGACGATGTGAATGGATATGAGGTTTGCGGAAAGGAGCAGACCAGGAGATGTGAAAAAGAGGTGTTGACGGTTCAGACAAGTGCCTCTTTATTGAGTCTGGATTGAGTCCGCTGAACTACCCGGGGACGCAGTGCAACGGCCTCCAGCAAACGGGTGATGGACCCTGTTGAGGAAGGCGTCAGTAAATGGTCAGGACGTCTTGAGAGAGAGATGGGAAGGAACGACTATGATCGCCTGTGGCCGGCATGCTCAGACAGAAGGAGCAGCCCGTCACCGCAGTCATGGGGACAGTCTAAGAGCAGAGCAAGAGGGAAAGAGCGACCGGCGTCACTAAAGTCGCCAAAAGCAAAAGATAGAGAGAAACACGTACGAGTTGAGGAGATTAGAAAACGTTTTGGCGGTATTTGGCGATCGCAACCCTGGAGAGCGCGATCATCCAACTTAAAAACGGTTTTGTTTATAGTTAGCGGGGGGGCCGTGGCCGTGTCGTTAAGACAAAAGTGATGGTGAGAGTGAAGATGTTGGAATGCAAAAGCAGAAAGCGGAGGGATCAAAGTAGTTTGGGAACGGAGAGTTCGTTGAAGAAAGGAAGGAACGATCGTGAGAGGCATCCGATAGGGGGTGAACAATATATAGGTGCGAGCCAGTCGGGTCCTCTTTTTGGCAATCTCTAGTTCGTCTCTAAGTCGTTCTTACTGTACGAAATAATTTGCTGAACTACGGAGTACGCAGCCCATGGGGACAGCCTGACACTACGGGCGAAAGGGGGAAGGCACGGAAAAAATGGTATGTGGTGGAGACCGAGGGGCACGGCGGTGAATAGTATCTGACTGGGACGATAACGGCGGGTGGAGGGGCAAGTGGGCACAAAGTGGGCGGTCGCGCCTGCTTATCGTGGTGGCCGGAAGGCCTCGGAGGGGGCAATGTGTGTGGATTGACTGCGGACTCTGCAAGCGAGCCAAACATCAACAACGGCGCGCGGTCTCGTTAGCGAGAAACAAACTGACATGCACGCTACTGCAGCTTAAAAGTAAGGCGGGCTTGCAGCACTGGCCAGTCGCAGTCCGCTGTTGGACTTGCTTTGTTCCGCACTTCGCCCAGAAGCGTAGAATCGCGGCACACCACTTAGGTCCCGTGGGAGTGCGGACAGTTGCACCTTCCTTCCTTTCGTCTTCAAGACGTTCTTATCAGGACATATCATGGGCGATAGCTCCTTCCTGCATACAAGACGTCAAGTATTGGTTCTTACCTCCATTTGTAGTTGTGTCTTTGCGTATTCGTAGGAGTGATAGGGGAGCCACCTGCCCTCCCCGATGATATGACCATCTTTTGTGTATGTTGTGGCTTTTTTTGTCAAGATTTTCATCTAATTTCCATAGCCTAGTTGCATTCATAAATGCAGACTTGCTTTCGCATGCTCTTGGCCTTTTGATTCCACAAAAAAATACGTTGCAGATGCGAGGATTGACACTGTCTGCTAAATTGGCGCTCCAGGTTGCCCATCTTTCTCACTCGTACAGGCGAGGGACAAGTGCTCGTCGTTTGTGCTCCTTCCTTTGGTGGTTCTGTCACTCTTGGTTCTTTCCCTTTTCGTCCTGTTCTGCATGTATTCTCGCAGCTGCTGAGTATTGCCCGATTGCCCTTCCTGCAGATTGTCTGCATCCTCCCTGTTTAGGAAACCCGGCGGCGCAGGTCGTTCGAGGAAAGAGCGGCGGTTTCTCCGAGCACATCAGGCCATACCAAGGCCGGACCGATCGGCTGCAGTTTTAATTCTGCTGCCTGTCTCGCCTGCTCCTGCCTCCTGCCGACCGAGACCACCTTTGCTGGACAAGTGGCATGAAACCCCCCCCCCCCCCCCCCCATATCATCATTTTGACATTATCCCCATTTTCCCCCTTTGCCTTTTTTTGACTCCCACACAAAACTTTGCCAACGGTCCCACTCTCCCACGATATTCCCACCGGCCCCGCTGTAAAGACCCCCACTGTATGTCGAACATCGTACTTGCACAGGGCAAGACAGGCTGGGAACCCCGCCGCCCGCCATCCGATGCAGCAGTTGCTCGACGACCCACAGCCATTGTGCTCGCTTCTGATCTATGGAGTGTCGGACGGAGTCCGGAGTACTCCCACTTAGCTGTCCTCAACATATCTTATTTGTCCCCGCCGTGGCCTTGTGCAATTTCAGCAGGCGGGTCCGGTTGCAGCTGGCGGCCGGTGGTTGGCAGGTCTGCTCCATGCGAATAGTCGACTGGTGACCAGTGGTGGATGTGGTTGGCTGTTTGGGGTTTTGTTGTTTATTTTTATTTTGGTTTTCATGTATTCCCAGACAAATCTTTACGTTTTTTATGGGAACGTAACTGGGACGTGGCTGGGAACAGGCCGGTCAACAGACGACCCTCGGCTCGGGTGTTTGACATTCTCCGGCAAACGGCGTTCTTCAAATGCACCCGATTTGCGTGGAGCAGAAAGATCAGAGCTCTGCGTGCTGTGTCCTCGGACTTGGCCATCTCCCGGAGAGGCAGTGTCCAATATAGCAGACTCCAGCACTGGCTCGATGTAGCTCCAAAGTACATTCACCGTTGTGGAAGGTGTATGCATGTCGAGTTGGATCATGTTCTCTCTAAAGGCTGTCGTGTACTGGCACTTTACCTTTGAGAACCTTCTTGAGCAAACCCCAACTGCTCCTTTCTAACTCGACATGTATATGTCGAGTATCTCGCCAGACCTTGCCGCTCGGGCGCCCACCAAACCGGCATACATCCCAGATCTGCGCCTCGAGCAGACAGTTGCTGCTATCTGTCGTAAAGAGGTGGCGTGTACTTAATCTCTCAGCTCCATACTCGATGGGGATGCTGGCTATTCCACACGGCGAACACCAAACTGTATCGACTTTGCTCGAGTTTGCAGGACCAAGCAATTGATGTGCGATGTGGCAGTAGCCCATGGTACCGTCAACGGTGTTGCAATATTGTAGGCAACAGCATTTTCGCTGGGAATGAACTCCCATTGCCAATGGCTTGGATCGATGGATGGGGTGGATGGCCGGAGCTTGACGTGTTACCAGTCCTCGCTTTGCCGGCGATGTCCACGTAAGTTTCGTGATCGCTGCGGTGACTACCTAGGTGGAAGTTGGTATTCGTCAACGTCTGCTGGCGGCTTCTACCGTCTGTCCGAGCTCTCACGTCTCTCTCTGATGCCGTCAATTGTTGACCGGTAGTGGCATTCGTGACCGTCGCCGGTTTCTTTCTTCAAATGGAATTAACCTGGGGCGTTGGGCAGGTGTGCACGGAGTCTTCGCCGAGAGGCTGTCCAATAATTATGTGCCGGTGCAACGTATGTGCCATGACAACGACAAGCCAAGCTTTTTTTTTGGCCGGGTTCGTAGCATCTTCATCCTCTCTGCGCAATACCGCAGGCGTGGTGTAGTCCTCGGAGCTCTCCGATGGCCTCAAGTTAGGACAGGCCCGGCGACATAGCAGGCCTTCGTCGGCCGTCCACCCGTGACTGGTGTGGGACTCTCATGTTGCCAGTCGCGCTTTTGCTTACCTACCATCCAATGTATAGCACCTCCGCACTACCTTATTGTAGATATGCTTCAACATGGTTGATAGAATGGAGATTTGGCCACAGCCCGCCACAGCCTGCCACAGTCCCTCGGTCGCCCTTCCAATAACTGCACCGTCTGTCACCTTGAGCATCTTCGTTATCGTTTCCAGAGACACTCGTCACTATTTATGGCCGGCAAACAACGACTCTTCCCTACTTAGAGAAGAAGTCAGTCCCACGTACGATTCATCTGGACGATCCCCGTTCAATGGCACTACCAATTGCATCATACGCTGGCCGCACTCGACGGATTGGAACAAATATTTCAGCGGCCTTGACAAAACGCCTTGTCTCGTATTCGCGAGAAGAGCTGTCTTCAAAACGATCAAGCCACTGTACGACGTCGTTGTGGTTCGACATAATAAACTCTACGTCGTACGACGATCACGCTCTTGTCGTCTCATTGGAACAACGTGATGAGATGGTAGAGGAGACCCTGGCGCATCGTCTGGCGTCTGGAGTCGATGGGCTAAGGCGACGGCCAAGATCGTCACGGAGGCTTTCCGCTCGGAGCCCGAGAACTCACCAGCGAGGTCCTCCGGCGCTTACCGGGCCGTAGCCCGCCATGGCCGGCCGGCCACGGTAGGTGGCTCAGATGTCGCGTCTCGCATGGGACCTGTTTCGCAGTGCATGCGCTTGCTGTGCGTTGGGAAGGTGTATATCGGCGGCCTTACATTTCTCTAAAGCAAACTCTGCTTATGATTTCATAGTTAGTTTTCAATACATCACCTTACCGGCTCTGTTCCCGCTTGTTAATATAGCCTACCGAATTTGAGATACGTGGGGAACAGGGTCGCAGGGCAGGAGTCGAATGGAAACGTGAGAAAACGTCGACGGGAGAGGTTGAGAAAAAGCGGAAAACGGAGTTCATGCATGTCCATGCAGGTCATTGTGTCAAAAATAAAGGTAAAAGACAAGAAACCCGTGGGCCGCGAGGCTATGGGCGAGCGGGAGACGGAAGGATCATCAAGATTTCGACAGAAGTGTTTGATCACCACATCACGACAGGCTGCAAACGTCGCAATGCTACCCTCCTGCCCTGTTCTCTTCTGAGACGCAGTGTCTTCCTCGTCTTTTGTCCATTCCCTTGTTCTACATAGTTTCTTTCGTATCCTCTTCATTATCTCATTTTCGTTTTCAATTTTTTTTTTTAATTTATTTATTTATTTTTTGTCTTTTTTTCCCCGTTAATTCCGTCAAGTTCTGTGTTTGTAGCCATTTTGTTTCATTCCGGTAAAATAAAATATCATTTGATCATTTACATTCGACTTATTCACAAACCGTGCGTACTCACCAACAGATTGCCTTTTCTTCGCCACGCCGTTTTACACAATGACCAACGTCGTCATGAGAGGTTTCCCCTTCATACGTCTCTTATTGAATCCGAGATTTACCGGCATAGCCAAGTCGACCGACCATGTTGCAGCGAGTATTCGTCATCCCCACCGTTCCGCAATCTTTCATCAACGATATTTCAGGTTTCGCCGTGTCCCTGGACTAGGAGAGCTCGGCACTCACGGATTGTTTATTTGTGCTCCGTAATTCGTAGTGATGCCGTGCTCAGGAGGGGGCGGCTTTAGACGACAGGAGGAGACTGGTTGCTAGGAGAAAGACTGTCAGCCGTATGGGGCGAAACTTAACCACGATGGGGTGACTTGGCGATGATCACTATTTCGTAAAGAAAAGAGACATGTTGTGTGGGCCACTTTGAACCAATTCCCACCACTTTTGGGGTTAAAATCCCATTAAAACCCCTGCAAGCCCAAAAGAAAACATGACGGAAGATGAGCAAACGACGAAAAGATGAGAAGCTTCTGACAGAGCCACTGAGGGGAAGTGACTAGGCACAATGTGAAGAACATGACGAGAAATGGTAGCGACCAACGAGAAGAGGCGAAGGGGAGAGAGGAGAGTGTGCCTCGAAGCAGAAATGATGTTCATATCGGGAAATTCGCCCCCTCACAAAGTCGACCTTGACGTGCGTGGCCAGCTTGAAAGTCTGGACTACATCGTAGACAGCGCGCCCACCGATTGCACTACTTTGACGAGTGCTGGATCTCTCTTCTTGTGAAATTGGGCCCTGCCGATCTGCCGTGTTTCAGGGTTGAATCGAGACGAAATTATGGAGTTTGTGAGTCGTGTTATGACATAAAGGCGGTCGCAGATATGGAGCAGAGGGATACCGAGAGAGCAGAGGGAGGCCAGAGTCGGTCCAAATCACCACGAGATGACGAGGAGACAGATTTTGCCCTTTGGCAGGCGCAAGGGACGGAATGTGAGATTTCGCGATTCTTCAGCCGCCGGGCGTCTATTGGATGCGAGTGGCTGTCAGACGAGCGCCCACAAGATGCATGGCATTCCACCAGATTTCACAATATCGCAATCGAGTTTCATCTATCGCTGTGTAGCGTATCGTGGTTGTTTGGCGGCCGCGTCGGTAATGACATCAGATTGTGCCCAGTGAACATCAGCCAGTCGGTTTGCACCGTTCTGTTTACATTGCCGCCCGCCATATCTGCAACACCCTATTTGTCCGCCGTTGCACGGAATTGCTTGTAACACTTCAAGTCTCATTAAACGGGGGATATTAAGTTCAACGACAAGGCGGCCCGGCGACTCGAGGTATCATGAAGTAGAACGCGGGAGTGGCCACCAGAAGACGTTGCAGCCGTTGTCGCATTTGGTTGGACCAACCTCGCACGCTCTCGCACTCTCACTTTTCTTCATTTCAAATCGCCGACTCTAGCACCATTCGGGAATTGCATCGTCAATCCTCCGTCGCACCGTCGTTTTTTATTGCGACATCGAGCTGCAAGCACTTCCGCTCTACGCTTCGGTCTGCCTGGTTGCACCCTATTTCGACGCTGTTTGGTGTGGTAATTACGGCGAACCGAGCGGGAAAGGACTGGACGTAGGCAGGGAACATGGGAGAGGGAATTGGTGGTGGGAAGGGAAAGGGACAGCGCATGACATCGTACGCAACAATGCGACGTGCGCTTTTTGGGATGCGACAAACGGCGGTATGGCGGCTCGAAGATTTGTGCGCGAGTTGGTCAACGGACCTCAAAGATAATTCTGGGCGCTTTCCGCTTTCAATGACGAGAATGACAGGGACGAAGCAAGACGCTGGAACAACCGCTACTTTTGAGTTTGTTGATCATGTTGTCTCGATTGGCGCCGGACACGAAACAGCAGGAGGCGGACAAGAAACAACGGCCCCAAACTCGACCAAGAGGAGGGTAACGAAGGAGAAACAGCTAGACCCAGACGGCAAAACAATACAATGTCGTGGGGCGAAGTCAAGAAACAAAGGGAAGAAGACGACTAACAACGTCAACAAACACCATCAACAAACCGCATCAACATAAATGTAACCATGCAATGGGATGACTTAATGTGTATTTGTTCCAAAGTAAGGTACGATGTCCTCTGTAATTCTCCGTAGTGGTACGACATACCATATGTGGCAGTTTGTATCTGTTTCTGTTGATGTCGACCTCAAATGTTTGTTGTCCGAATCCTTCCAGGGCCCAGTATGCAAAATACTCGCAGGTTGGGAAAGAGGAAAAGCCCCTGGCCTGTTGCTGGGGGTATCAGCCACTAGATACGAGCGGCGTCAGGGGTAATTAAACTGGTGATCATTAGGTGGCTTACCATTTTGTGGAGAAGGGGGGAAGGGGACCACACTGCCTTCCCTCAGCTGCACCCTGGCTCCGGTTGACTTCCCAGTACAGAAGCAAAGAGCGCCAGACTGAGTAAATGCCGCCTTTTAACGATGTATTTCTGTACCTTGAAGTAATGCACCTGTCTGTATGATGTAGGTTTTACGTCGTACATGTACGTCGTATCTCACCATAGCAGCCAAGGTGCTAAGGTACGTACCAGTATTAAGCGGACATTGGGACAATTCTCGATTCCAATGATCCATTTTAAACTTTCGCTTTTGCCCTGTGCACTCGAACAGAACCGTGGGTCGGCGACGGAGCAAAAGGGAATTGCCTGCGCGACAGAGCAGCTGTGGAGCCAATGGGCTGTCGACGACTGATATACGATGTAATTATGGCGTTTGCTGCAGCTTGTATCCGTATCTATCGGCGTGGTATTCGGCGTGCGGTGTTGTTTGCGACGTGGAGCATTGGCAATGTGTTCGGAAATGGGGATCATGCTGGCGATAACAACAAAACAAGGACAAGAGCAGGGGCCGACAACTCCTCAGCACAGGGGTCGCTGGAGATCATGTTGGCCTATGGCTAGAATAGGGAAGGGGCGATTTCCTGAAGCGACCTGAAGGGTCCTGAAGAGGAAAGAGCGGCGGTAAAGATATGAAAAGATCTAGACAAGGCGAGAGCTGAAGGGTAAAAGGGGAAAGAGCAATGTGCTCGGTAAGTGTGCAAGCACACATGCAGGCAAGAGCGACCCTCTTTCTCTTTCGTGGTGTGTGGTGTGGAGGCCCGCCCAAAACCTACGACGTAATCTTATTTTTTTCTTTTATTTTTTGTTGCCTCAACTGGCGACCATCCGCCGTGCGGTCTCGAAAAAAATGACCGACAGTTGTTGAATTTCCGATATTTCCTTGACGCAAGCCCTGAGGCAGTCCGGACACACCGCTTGTCTTCTACCTGTCTAGTGAGGCAAGATATCCAGGAACGGGGATTAAGCTGGTTGTGGCGGCGGCAGTTAACGACAAAAGGTTAGATTAGACTCACACAAAAGCAATCAAAACGGCCACCGGCGTGCTCATAGCCAATTCGGTATGGATGTTAGATGGGAACAAAAATGACACCAGAAGAGCCAGAAGGACCAGAAGGTCGTATGGAAAAGGCGATGCCGAAGTGGTGTGGGAGGTGACAGGTGCTTCTATTTCGTCTAGAGCTCCCGCAATTCTTGTAACCCAGCATTGCCGTTACGTTTAGCTTTGATGAAAGTACGATTTACCGGTTGTGCCGTGGATATTTGCAATTAATCGTTCTATTTTCTACGACGTACGTCGTTCACCTTGTGATATCTGGTCACAGTCGTTCTTACCCTACGACGTATGATGCCTCACCATTGCACTTTCCCCCACTGTGGCCCATGCCCAATCTACTGTGTTCATAGCAATCTCCAGCTTTTGGCGTGCTCTAGTCGAGATTCTATTCCCGTCCATGAATCAAATTTTGGCTCATCTTTTCATTTACGTACGCCACGGGCCTGGCCTTTTTCGACTCCACGCACCCCGATGGCTCCAGTTTTGGCCAGACTCTCATCAGAGACTTGGCTTCTTGGACAAGACGAGACACACTGGCCCAGACAGACCACTGAGGTCACCCCACAGGCAAGGGCGACCTGTGATCGCCTCCACATCTCGGCCGTTTTCCTCCTTGTTCTCTCTTTTTCTTTTTGCAATGGCCCGTCTCGGGGCTAGAAAGGAGAAGAGGCACACTAAAATTACAGCGACTTACCATAACAGAGACAGACAGTCCAGGTGGCCGTTGGACTTTGACTTAATCGAGTTAGGAAACTGGATCAAAAAGGAAGACACGGAAGAAGCGAAGAGGCAAAAATACGAGGAGAGGAAAAACTGAAGTGAAAATAACCTTTCGTGAGGGCGGCATGAACTGATCAATACATATAGGTTGTCTGACAGTGCGGCAACCCGACTTACACCACACTGCCCTAACTCGTGGGCTCTCTTTTCGAAACGGCGACCCTTGGTACCGCATCGTGATCGACAGTTGCCCAAGCAAGACGGAAGACGGAAGCCGGAATACGGAAGAAAAGAAGAGAAGAAGACACCGGAGAAAACAGAGCAACAAATAAAGGAAAGGCAAACGGTATCAAAACAGCCTCTGCCCTTTTCCTAGGCAACCGGTCGGCCTGACACTGTCCCGAATAGAGCTCCTTTTTTCACCTCACTTTAGGCTCGTTTGAGGTTGCATTTCACCGACTGCAAGCGAGCATCGACGGACGTTTCTCATTTCCTCTCTTTCTGAGACTCACTTCCCGCTGTCTACGAAGTAGCCTCCCTTTGCCGTTCAATCAATTTCTTTCAACTGTTTTGGCCTTCGTAACCCCTTCTCTCGATAACTCGCTGCATGCCTCACACGTCGCCTTTCTGAGAATAGATCCGCTAAAACGGGTCTCCCTCCCTTTTGAACATCCGGTTCTGCACTCTTTTTACACTGCACGCACCATTGTTAAATATCTCCCTGCGATCCTCACGTCCACTGCACATACTCACTCGTTTTGCCTCTCACAGCCTCATTTGGCCTCACTTGGCGTCGTTTCGCGTCACTCTTTCCACTTCTCCATTCCTCGCTGCATCCGTGCTCGTACATCGCGTCCGTGCCATCCCTCTTACTTTTCTTGCTCCTCTTGCTGCTGCTTACAAGGGAAAGGCGTCCCTGTTCAGTAGACTTCTTTACGACGTATTTCTCTGTTATTTTATTTTTATGTGACTTGGCCTGTACCGTGCCCTTTTGTCTAATAGCCCCCCCTGCTCGCTCTCTCCTCTTTGCTCTATTTCATCAAAGAAAAGCCCCATCTGTTCGATACAACCTTGACCACCTTTTGATCCTCGCATCCTCCTCTTTTGGACCCCCCCCCCCTCCGTTTTCGACACACGAAACGCAACACTAAGCAACTATTAGCCAGGGCCCTCGTAACTTTTGCTGGCCGCCAGATACGACACCGTATTTGACAACCTCAAACTTGGCCCTCCTCTTTTGACCGTCTTTTTTCCCAAATCCACTCGGACTCTCGCTTTCAAAACACACTCGTTTCTTCTAACCCTGCACATTGAAGACCCCTGTTCACCTTGTTTTCCATCTTCTCGTTTACTTTGCTTGTTTTCTTCCTTCCTCGCTTTCTTTCTGGCCATCTACCCCCTTGTCCTTCTTTCTTACATCGTACAACCAGTAATTCTTTTGACCACGCATTTATTTCTTCATTTCTGTCTCAAACAACTCTCTTCATCACTGTTCCAAATTGGGCAACTGGTCGTCTTTCATCGACAATAAACACCTCACACCTCGACTGGACTTGAACAACGCCATTGTTTGGAGGAACGCTGGGATCAAAGGAAGCAGCACCGAGGACAAAAGTCAACGACCTGGGACCCGCGCCGTGCGTCAAACCAAAAAACAATCAGCAACGACATTTGAACCAGTCGGCAACACTGCGTATACATATACATATGAGCTGTTGGCGAACGCAATTGACCATCGAGGACTAGAATACCCCTGGAGGGAGCCAAGCATTTGATGTCCTCACCACCGACGACAACAACAATAACAACAGCAAGAACAACATCACTACTTCACACAACACGCACAATATGGACCGGCCGGCAAGCTTCTTGCCGACCATCAAGTGCTCGTCATGCAGCCAGGAAATTGAGATCTCTATGATGGGCGAGCACATTTGTGGCAAAGTAGCAGAAGAGAGTGCGTCAACGTCGAACAAGAGAGCGATACTGGGAAAGGGTGAGAGAAGGAGAGTACTAACACCGTCCATAGGTGCACCGGCGCCACCGGCCAACTTTGACCAGTTCATGTCCTATGGCAGCAAGAACGGCAGCAGCAGTAATTATGGCTACAGCAGCCGCGACCAGGACCGGCCAAACCGTCTGCCACCACAAGTCGACACATCGGCAGCGAGTGAGTTCTCTTTCTCGCCAGCTTTACTCCTATACACATCTAACAGACTTGTAGATCGCAGTTACTACCGCACAGGACAGCTTACACCCGTTAGCAACTCAAGCGGCTCCCAGAGTGTCTCGCCCAAGACGCCTGTTGGCATGATGATGGGCGGCCTGCGGACGGGCGGTCTGGGCGGTAGTCGTGGCAACGATCGCAACATGAGCGATCGCAACGACCGCAACGCAGGCAGCAATGACTACTTTGAGCCCAAGATTGCGGACGAATTCGACTCACCGTCTGCATATGGCTCATCGACCCAACCCCGTCGACCTGGTGGCTACGGGGGCCTCGACGATGACGCCTATCCGCCGCCATCCAGCAGCCCCAAGCGCCAGCCTGCCACCAACCTGCTGCAGCGCATGAACACAATAGCCCCGGGACCCTTTGACGTTGACAGCAGTGGCCTCGGCCGCAAACCCACCAACGCCCGCAATGCCTTCCCGCGGGCGGCCAACAACTCGGACTACAGCCGGGAGAACATGGAGGGCCGCAATCTGACGCTCGACGACGACGACTTCCAACCGCCCGCATTCAACCGCGCCGGCACATTCCCACGTCTGAGCGAGAGCGCTGAGCTGCCGTCACGCACACCATCGGCGCCGGGTCCTCGCCCTGAGCGGAGGCGGCAAGCAAATAACGATGGCTATGGCAATATGGGCAATATGGGCCAAAACAACAACAACTCGTATGGGAGCAGTAGCCAGCCGTCGGACCCCATGCGCCGGCCTATCATGGGTCCCGACACGTCTCGTGCACCACCGCCACGCACCAGTCTGCTGCGGCCGCGTACGTCGGGCCGTGACGACTCAACTGACTCCAGCACTCCCACCATTCCAAAAATCAACCTCGCCGCCGAATTTGGCATAGGTAACCCGTACCATTCAGCGTCGGACTCCATGTCGTCCACTGTGTCGAGCGTAGCGAGCCGACCTGGTGGGAATCTTGCGTTGTCGTCCTCGCAATCGTCGTTTTCGTCGGCATCGTCCTTTACGACTTCGTCGACGTCGAACTCGCCAAACAAAAGTGGCACAAACAATTATTACAACATCAACAACAACAGCCGTGACCAAGTCCGCGAGGTGCCTCGCGAACAACCACGAAAGCCGAGCAATGCGTCTAACATGGCCGACTTCGACAGCCTGATGAATGACCTGCAAGCGCTGAACCCATCTGAGGATCTTCGCGATGAGCGCCGTGAAGAACGCCCTCTCCCTACCCAAGATGAGCGTGGCCGCAACGGCAGCTATGGCGGCTTTGGCGCCTCCAACACCCCCTCCTCATCCAACAGCCGCTCATCCCCTGACCGCTGGCCTCAATCGCGGGGCCGCAATGCGATGCAGGACGACACGGATAACGGTTCTGGCAGCAACGGAAACGGAAGCCTGCGCCGGGATCCCAGTCGTGCACGTGATCAGTCCATAGGTGCGCTGTCCCGTAACGGAAACGGCAGTAGCTGGTCTCGCGGAGCAGGAGCGAACAACATGGCGCCGCCCATGCCTTCCATTCCTACGATCCCGGTCGTGCCGACCATGCCTTCCCGCGGCAACTGCAAGGCCTGTGGCGACCTCATCACCGGCAAGTCCGTGTCGAGCGCCGATGGCCGCCTCACTGGCCGCTACCACAAGGCTTGTTTTGTGTGCACCACCTGCAGTGAGCCTTTCTCGTCCGCCACCTTTTATGTGCACAACGACCAACCATACTGCGAGCGCCACTACCACGCTGTCAACGGAAGCCTGTGCGGCAGCTGCGGCAACGGCATTGAAGGATCATATCTGGCGGATGAGGCCGACAGCAAATTCCACCCGACATGCTTTGTGTGTGCCGACTGCCGTCTGCCTCTCGAGGACGGCTACTTTGAGGTGGCGGGCGCCGTGTACTGCGAACGGGACGCCTGGAAGCGGGTGCAGCAGACGTGGCTGTCGCAGGCGCCGTTGACTCCGGCTTCGTCGGTCTCATCTGCCTCGTCTCGGGGCGGCATGGGCAACAATCTTGCGGTCCCACGTGGTAACGGTCTGCCCTCCGGCCCCGGCGTCTCCCGCCGTCCGTCTGTCGGTCTGCCGAACCCCAACGCTCTCGGTTCAGCTGCACGACCGTTTGGTCTGCCCAGCGGCAACCGTCTGGGTCCACGCCCGCGGATGGAGAAGCGCATGACACGGCTGGGCATGATGTGATGACTTGACCCCTTACCTCTTTATTTTCTTCTTACTTTCTTCTTCTTGATGACTGCTTTGTTATCTGTTTTAATAACGCCACGTTACATCTTCTTTTCTTTTACCTTTTTGATGACACGACCTAATCCTACCTCTCTCTCGTTTCTCTCATGACGACTTTCTTTATCCTCTTTATCTTGCCTTTTCCTATTCTTGTTTTCTTTCTCAAATATACCCCGGCCAGATCGGCAACCCGGTTGAGGAGTTTTCTTAGTCTTATTCAACTTTGTTTTCTTTTACTTTATGCTGTTTTTTTATTCCATTTCTTTGTTCCTGTTCTATTCGGCTTTTTGGGTGGACTGGGGATGGACGAGGGCTTCTGTGAAGGCAGTCTTTCTCAAAAGACAGGACGTTCGATGTGATTATAGCTCAAGAGGAGCCAGCGTGGGAGCCAGAAATGACTTCATAGAACGCAAAGCTCAAGGCAATACCACATTTTCGGCAGAGAACCCCGAAAGGGATCTTTTCTGTAATTATATATGCACTTTGTACCGCTTTCTTATTTTTCTATTTACGGTGAGAGCGAACACCACAACGACAAGTCTTCCTTACCAACGGAGACCGGTAATAACACAAACCTATGTCGTAGCTAATCTATTATTAAGACGGCATACGGTGAACCGAAACTTTTGCACTAAAAACCAAGGTAGTGTCGATCAACTTGCCGTTACCGCCAGTGCAAAGAGAGCTCCCCGCAGTGCGGAGTTACATTAATCTCAAAGGTCGACCTCGGCTTTGGTTAGTGTGCGGGCAAAGAAACGGCTCTTCTAACGAATTGGCAAGGACTGTCGTTGCACAGTCCAGAGTATGAATGCGAGAACGAGGGGAGTGGGGATTGAGGGCAAACGGTGTGACGAAATGCACGGGGACAGAACCGGAGTGAACTTCAGCAAGGCCATTTGCAAGTTTGCATCGAACAAGGTCTGCATCGATTCGGAGGCCCCTGAGATAAGTCAACCGCAAAGTGGAACGGGTGGGAGCTAAACGGTACATTGGTACAATGCCACATCGAACGTGCCCCGTGGTTCACCAGCAATTGCACCGCCCGAGATAAACACTGTCTTGCGTTTACTTCTTGCACCTATGAAAGGGGAGAAAAGGTCCGCTGTAAGTCCGAGATATTTGGCGGCAGAAGACAAGAAAGAGGAAACAAGATACAGAGCTTGTCGGAGGCACCTGCTCAGAAAGAAAAGGTCATGGACGGCGAATGGGCTGGCGCCTTTCCCGAATGGGAAACAGCAAATCTGGGGAATTGCGTTGTTTGATACCATTGCACCGAGCTAAAGTGCGGGGGAGGGAAGGAAACAACGGCAGCGAGGCCACTGAGCCTGCTATTGTGTGGAGACGGTCCAAATGTCTTACGAAGAAGGTAGCGAGCACAGCGCAGAGGGCAGGACGGTTCCACTTGGCTGTCCAAGTTCAAATGGCAGGTCTAGTTTAAGAAGGGACGCAATGATGACAGGTACGACGGACATCTTCTGTTTGTAATACGTCGACGTCGTACGATGGCCGTGCCTGCCATTTTGTGTTCGGCTGGCGAGACGACTCGGGTTCCTGAGTTCCGTTCCGATGCGTCGTTCCTGCCAACTGAAACGGGGCGTGGGGAAGCCGCAACAGGTAGATAGCTAAAAGGGGATATAGGGAGAGGGACAAAAGAAGGAAAGAAAAGAAAGAATGATGGGTAAAAAGGAAACAGTGTTGTATTTGCTCCTTCCTCCGATGTCCTTCGTCCTTTCCTGTCTGGGCATTTTCTGGGCTTCTTGGCCCCCATCCCTCCCCTCTTCGTCGCCTCTACCCCGTCTAAACAAGGGAAGGTACCACATACGCCATTGCGCCAGCCTCGGCTCGCTTGCTTTTGTTTTGGCCAGCTCCAGTCGATGATCGCGTTGCTCCTCTGTCCTATGCACAACTCCGGGGATGGGGTAACGCGGCTTGTCGGTATGCACGATGGCCGAAGGATCCCCTCTCATTCCCCATATATATTTACTCGAGCGAGGTACGCATTGTTGTGGCCGGCCGTAGACCGTGTTCGTTCCGATTGTTGATTCACATCTGCACAAACAGATTCAGTGCTGCCTTTCCGCTGACCGCTTGTCCTTCCTTCTTTTACGTCGAGTTGGCAAGCAGCGGTCGACGCCTTTTTGTCCTTCCCTTTTAAGCTTTGCTTTTGCCACAAAACTACTCGCACGGTGTTTTTACTTGGCGACGATATCCACGATATTTGACCTGACGACCACCACTTGACGACACAAACTTGACACCATGACGATCGTGTCACGGCACATCGCGCCGATACCGCGCTGCTCGCTGCAGCAGTGGATTTTCGGCTCGTCCCAGGAACCCCTGTCGGACAAGAGGCTTCTGATCGATGCCGACCGGCCCGACACTCACTTTATCTCCAAATCTGACTACCGTCTGCTGAGCAAGCGCATCGCCCTCGGCTTGCAGGATGCCGGTTTGGAGGCCGGCGACCGGATGCTGCTTTTCTCGAGCAATGACATCTATTTTCCCCCCATCTTCGTTGGCACCCTCATGGCAGGCGGTATCTTCAGCGGCGCCAACCCGTCGTATGTCGCGCGCGAGCTGGCCTACCAGCTGCGAGACTCGGGTGCTAAGTTCGTAATTACCGCCGCCAACAGCCTGGCCACGACTCTCGAAGCGGCGGACGCGGTCGGCCTGCCGCATGACCGGATATACGTGCTTGACGCGGTCCCGGATCCGCCTTCTGATGTGGTCTCGACTGAGAACCCGCCGAAGCAGACACTGCCCGATGGTGGCGCCAGCGGTGTTCGGCACTGGCTCGATCTCTTGCAGGGGAATCACCGGCGTGCGCTGGTCTGGGACTGGGTCGAGCCCACGGATCCTGCCACAACCACATGCGCTCTCAACTACAGCAGTGGCACGACGGGCATGCCCAAGGGCGTCGAGATCAGCCACCACTCCTATGTGGCCAACTGCGAAAGCGTTGTCTCTGTCGGCCGCAACGACCCAGAAATTGTCGCCGCGCGCCAGCGCACGGTTGGCCTGTGCTTCCTGCCCATGTACCATGCATATGGGCAGACGTACTTTATCGCCATCATGGCCCAGATGGAGATCCCCGCGTACATAATGGGCAAATTTGACTTTATCAAGTTCCTTGACCACATCCAAAAGTTCCGCGTCACGACCTTGTCGCTCGTGCCACCCATTGCCGTGGCCTTGTCCAAGCACCCCATCGTCAAAAAGTACGATCTGAGCAGCGTCGAGGCTGTCTCTAGTGGTGCTGCACCACTGGCCAGTGAATCTGTTGCGGCCCTTCGGAAGCTGTGGCCCAACGCCGAAGTGCCCGTTCGCCAGGGCTGGGGCATGACCGAGGTCACTTGCACGTGTTTGACATGGACCGCCGATACCGATGCTGGGGACGGGTCAGTCGGCGAGCTTGGAGCCAACTACTCGGCGCGGCTGGTGGCGGTCGACGAAGGAGGTGGCAGTGGCTCCCCGAAGTACATCACTGAGGCCAACAAACCGGGCGAACTCTGGGTGACCGGCCCGACACTGATGAGAGGCTACTGGCGCAACCCCAAGGCCACCGAGGAAACCATCCATGTCGACGCTGACGGCACCCGCTGGCTCAAGACGGGCGACATTGCCTATGTCAACCGCTACGCCACCGGCGCTGGCTTCTTCATTGTCGACCGCCGTAAGGAGCTCATCAAGGTAAAGGGCAACCAGGTCGCGCCGGCCGAGCTTGAAGCCGTACTGATCGAGCGGTCGGATGTCGTCGATACCGCCGTAATCGGTGTCGCAGTTTACGGCGAGGAGCGGCCTCGGGCCTACATCGTGCGCGCAGCCGGCTCAAAAGCAACCGGCGAAGACATTGCGAAGTGGATGGCGGCACGGGTGGCACCGTTCAAGCGGCTGACTGGCGGCGTGGTGTTTGTTGATGAGATTCCCAAGAACCCGGTGAGTTTTCTCCATGCCATTTGCTCTTAGCCGTGTAATTGGCACAACAACTAACAAAAGCAGTCCGGCAAAATCCTCAGAAAGATCCTTCGGGACCAGGCGAGCAAAGAGAGATCGTCGAAGCTGTAGAAGACGGTCGATGACAAAGCATTGTTATGAATGGAGCGTCAATTTCGTTGTTTCGCGATCTTTGCTAGATACATGCGAATCTCATAATATTGTTGACGAACAAGACTAGAAAGAGAAAGAAAAGAGTGACGAGATATGAAATAGCAACAACGGGGCCGTTAACTGAACGAGATCAAGAGGTCGTCGTGCTTGGGAGGAGAAGCGGAGTTGGCGGATTTGAACCAGGTCCGTAGCAAGCAGTAAGCACGGCAGTGCATATCACCCCCTCTCAATCGGAATTTCCTTTTGACCCGGGCCTATTTTCGTCAAGCTCGACGGTCTTACCCGATTTGCCAACATCACGCAAACGAGCGTCTTCTTTCCAATTTTTGCTGGAAGGTGCCAGGTCGTTGTTCCGTTCATTGTGGTCTTGAGACAGAAGGAGCTTTTTGGCGGAGTCCTTTGCTGTAAGACGAAGCTTCTCATTCGCTAGATTCAGTAGCCCATATGCGTCTGGGCCACAGCGGTCTTGCCCGAGGATTTGTGCACTGAACGCGAATTTGCCTAGCGCTGACGCTACCAATCAAAAAGACGTGTCAGGGGTCAACGACCACTCAAGGACAGAAAGGGACACTTTGCACCAAAAACAGCCACTTAAAGCTATTTCGATCGTCCTTCCACTTTCACTGTCGACACATCGACAACTCAACTCACTCGTCGCTCTTCGACCTCGTTTCTTGCCCTCTTTTTGACGATGCCGACCCTCGACCTCCCATGATTTCACCACCTTACCGACACGACAACGCCGTATCATCGCCTCCCAAATCCCCAAACCCCCAAACCCGTCGCCATGTCCGGCCTTCTCTCCCTCGTCGGCTGGAGCTTCTTGCCCAACGTTTGTTTACCTCCATCTACCGTTCGTTTTTTTCAGGCTCTCGATACGCATCTAACACATGCTCATGCACGTCTAGTTTGTCACCGGCTGGACACAGTCGATATACTACTCCCTCACCATCCGCGCAGGTGACCCGCGGCCCATGCCCGGCACCCCTCGATTTGCCGAGCACCGCCGTCGCATCCACATCCTCGTCGTCGCCCTCTATCTGGCGTACACCATCTACGAGGCTGATTACGAACTGCGCCGTGCCGGCTCCTTCTACCGCGACATTGGCGTGCCCCTCACCGCCACCGACCGCGAGATCAAGTCGCGTTTCCGCCGTCTCGCCGCCCTGCACCATCCCGACAAAGCCGGCTCGGCGGGCGCCGACGAGGCCACCATCAACGATTACTTTGTCCACCTCAAGACAGCCGCCGACACGCTGCTCGACCCCGCCCGCCGCTTTGCCTACGACCGCTTCGGGCCCGTGTCTGTCGCCTGGGCCACCAACAACAGCAACAATGGCCAGAACCGCTGCTCCACCATCTACGACTTTGTATCCATGGGCGTGCGCACCCTCACGCCCTACTATACCGTGGCCGCCGCCGCGCTGTACGGGTTGGGCCTGGTTGGCTACCTGACGTGGGGCCGCTATGAGCGCTGGCTGGTCTTGACGAGCGTCTTGGTCTTTGAGCTGCACACCATCTCGCGTCCCTACCACCCGCAGATCCTGACCGACGTGCTCAACCCTCTGTTCACTGTATTGGTGCCGCAGCACGGGCCCTACTTGCCCTTCCAGGCCATCCAACTCGCCCGCAAGCTCAGTTTGACCATGTACATTGCGTTTTCGCAGATCGGACCGCTTTTGGGCGCCGACACGCGTAGCGGCCAGGTTGTGACCGCCGACAGCGAAGCCAACCCGAGCGGCGGTGCCCAGGGTGCCGCCGATCCGGCCCTGCTGGCTGCGCTGGAGCGCCTCGAGAGCACAAGCCGGTCACTGGACCAAGACGCCACGCGGCTGCTGGAGATGGAGATGGCGCCGTTTGTGGGCCAGGACGAGGTCCTGAGCAATGTGCGTGGCAAGATCAAGGAGTGGCTGGTACAGAACACCATCCGGGCAGATCCCATGGTGCGCGACGCTGTCGGCCGGTCGTTGCAGAAGCGGCGGACAGACGCACCAGCAGGCGCACGCGGAACAAGGTAGACAGCAAGTTGTTGGCCGGAGCCACTTCTGCTATTTTTCTTAGACATGATATCAGCTCCCTTTTTGAGATAACCCTGTGCAATACAATAGACTTGAATTTAGAATGACTTTCTTATTGCAACGTTGACAGAAGCACTGGATCCATCAGGAAACATGAGAAACAGTAACAGCACCCTGATGTCAATCGATGTCAAGCCCTCGCCGGTCCATGGCACCCACACTACCTTGCAGTGATATCTAATCGTACTTTGACTGTCTCGACAGCATCATCTGCGCAAGCTTGCACTCTTCGGCGAAGATGGCCTTTTTGAATGTCTACGTCACATTGTTAGCTGCGAACGATCAAGACGGCAAGGAAGGCACAAGTTGGAAAAATACCTTTTCGTTCTCCTTCATCTCTTTGGTGGCCTCCGCTGCCGCTGCATCGAGCTCCTTCTTGGCCTTGGCGAGAATCTGGTCCCGTTCTTCGTCCTCGTTCTCGCTCGTCATGGCTTGCAACACGTCCGTCGCCTCGTTGTGCGCCTGGTCCCACTCTTTCCAGAGTTTCTCGAGGTCGCTCTCCAAGGCCACGGCGGCGGCACGGACCATTTCAATGCGGTCGACAATCCGCTCGTCCTTTTCCACGGGACCTCCGCCACCGACGTCACCGCGTCCAGTGTTCTCGCGCGTCTGCACCTTGACCATCCAGGACTCGGCCGACCGGCTAAAGTGTGCCTGCTTGCCCGCTACATTGGACAGAAACGCTTCCTCCCGCTGAGCCATGCGGCCGAGTTCAGCCTCGAGCTCGTCTTGGGCAGCGGCCATGCGGTTGGTGGCTTCCGAGTGCAGCTCCTCTGCCCGGCTTGAGTAGCTTTCTGCAGGACGTGAGGTCAGGATGGGCCATGTCTGTTGAACTACTTGGTCATTAACACTCACCCTGCAAGCCTGTGAGATCGGGCCGGTCAATTTCGATCACAGGAGGAGATGTCGATGCCGTCCGAAGTATCTGCGCGGCCGGGGTGACGACGGTACGCAACGAAGAGAATGACGACGCTGATGACGGCTCGAAATATTGAAAGGCATGGTGTCCACTGCCAACGGCATGGTTGGTCATCGTAGCCTTGGCGACAAGGCTAGACGACCGGCTCTGGTTCTGAATTGACTCAAAAAAGGCACCAGTCGGGTCGATGGGCACTTTGTGGTGTGTCGGTGGCGGTGTCAAATCGAGATCGCGGCTAGATAAGGCACTCGCACCGCTTCCAACTCCCTTCGCACCCTGCTCCTTGTCGTCTTGCAGTACCGTTTGCAGGCGCTGCTCAAAGATCTCTGACCAGTCAGCCATGGTTAAGCTATGGGGAGCTACAGGGAACAAAAAAATATGGTCCCGAATCAAAACATGTAGTGGCTGATGCGCTGACAAAAGAAGGTGAGGTTGGTGGTCATGATATTTTCAGGGGCGAGGAATGAGACACATTCCGCTTATTGTGAAATTCGAAATGTAAACAATCGGAAGGAGCGATGTGCGCACCGTCGCGAAGAGAGAAGGAGCTAGCTCGACCTCCTACTCAATGCAGTCAGGGGTGAACGATGGCGAGACGTTCACTTTCAGGGAAGGAGCGACGATGGTTTGGTCCTTGAAGCTTCGTAAGCAGTATAAACAAATATGTGGTATTGGGATATATAAAAAGAGTCATCAAAAAAGCTATTGAAAACATATGCAAAACTGTGGCTAATATACCAGGGGCGTTTCAGACGCATACACAAAAAAAAGCAAGCGATGCTTGCTTTTCAATTTCTGTCTCGCCGTAACCCCCATAAAAGCTCTCTACTTTTCGACTAACTCAAAAAGAGTCTGCAAAGGTATAAACGTCTGAAACGGACGAGAGGCCGTCGACGTATGCAATATAATACAGACGAAAAGCAAAAAATCAGTTGGACGGGGAAAGGAAGACAGAATGGATGTCTCATAGGTTAGGCCGTCACTTCTTGTTCTGCCGTGGAGGAAGGTCTGGCGCGCCAAAGGCAGAGGGAGACCATGACTCGCCCAGATCAAGGTGCCGGCTCTTGGACGACTTTTCTGACTTGGTCGGCCTGTCTCGCTTGGTGAGCTTATCCGTATCCTTGTCCTTTTCCTTAACCTTTTCCTTATCTTTGTCTTTTTCTTTCTCTTTTTCTTTCTCTCGCTCCCTCTCTTTGTCTTTGTGGTGGTGATGGAAGATTTTATGGTATTCGTGTTCGTGGAGTTCACGGTCCTGCTCACGGCCGCGTTCCCGCCCTTTCTCGTGGTCTTTCACTTCGCGCTCCCGGACTTGCTCGCCGTCCTTGTTGAACTCATTGTCTCGAGTGTCCAAACCAGGCGCGCCGACATGCTCGGGGCTGGCTGTCCGGGGTTTGCGGTTGATGATACCACTGAAGAACTTGCGTGCTTGTTTGCCATTGCGCAGGATCTTAATTGACCCGCCGATGTCGTATTGTTCTTTACCATTGCTGTTGCCATTGTTGCTGCTAACTTGGCGCTCCTTGTGGTCACGTCCCCAGTTGTCATCCACCTCGCTGCCCGAGGATCCCGGTGGTGCCAAGCCGCCACTACGACTGCCGATATGGCCGCTATAGCTGCTGACGCTGACGCCCTCGGCGTTCTCTATCCAAGTTGAGCTGTTACCATAGGAGAGATTCACGGTATCCGCCAAGCTAGCCTGTTCCATTGACTCAGCGAGTGTTTCTTCCGGCTTGGGATGCGAGCTGTCCGTATCCGTTGATTGACGAAGAACCACCGTGCGCGTCAAACATTCGTCCGACCGTGCCTGGAGCTCCACACAGACACCGTTGAATTCCAAAAGGTCGCCGTCGTAGACGTGCGTGGGCGCGGAGAGCGGGTGTGCGTCCATCCACATCTTCACCAGAGCTGCGATGTAATGGGGCTGGTCGATCAGATAAGGGAGGCTAGGAAAGCCCTCGCGAGCTGCAGGAGGCAACCGGCCCATAATGGCGATGGGTGTCGAGTATGAGGCTGGCAATATCGGGGCCGCGTTCGGTTTCTCCGCGGGAATTGAGCACACAGCATCGATAAAGTCCTTGACCGACTGTCTCTGCCCGGCCAAGAAACGGTTCATGGGTTCCATCCAGGTCTCCTTCTTGCCAATCGTTGACAGGTTGGCAAGTGCCTGCAATCCCTTGGCAATGAGGGTGAGAGTCCGCTGCGCCTGAGGGCGGGGGTGGTCGCGCAGCAGGCCAAACAGCTTGGGGTTCAGAATCGCTGGGCAGATAAAGCGGAGGAAGAGGAAGCCGGACACACTTGTGTACGCGACAGTACGCAAAAAATCACCGTACCGGTCCTCAGCAACGGCTCGGATGTATTTCAAGATGTGGCGCAACTCCGACGGGAATCGCGCGGCCGAAACAGTGATGCACTCCCATATTTCATAGGTGAATCCCATCAGTAGCTCCCAGTGCTTGTGAATGTCTTCATGATTGGACACCTTGCTGGGGTCCACTTCGCAGTCAGGATTGACCTCGTTAATCTCAAAAATCTTTTCGGACAATATCTCTTCGAGATACTCCTTGCCAAGGCGGCGCATGTGGAACTCCAGTGCCTGTGTCAGCAGAGAGTTGCCACGGAAGAGCAGATTGGCTTCTCCTTGAAGCGAGCGGCCCATGTCACGAACCATCTGTTCTCGGTCGCTCGAGGACTCCATAGACTCGTTGGACCGGAGACGTCGACTGAAACGCATCTTCTTCATGGTCGTCTGGTTCCCAATGCCGTCGATTTCGTCCTCGACTAAAGCCATGAGCCAGTCCGCTGCTGTACCGGAAACTTGGAAGATGTTCAAGAACACCTCAGAGAGCCGGCGCAGGCTACCCGGCATAACTTCCGCAATCTGCAGGGTAAGACCAGAGCTGAATTTCTGTAACATGTCTAAGACAGGCTTGTATTCTTTGGCGGATAGCACGGCTAGCTCTTCGTGGTGGACTTTGATCAGCATCGTGCCAACGGTCTGCTGCCTGTCGTCAATGACTGGAAGCCAATGCTCATAATCTTTGCCTTTGTCCATGTCGGCCAACGATATGTCGACGGCACCATAGTTGTATTCGAGTAGATTTCCAGTCTTTGGCAGGCCCAATGATGCTTGGAGCTGATGGGTGAAGCTGTCGAGACTTCCGTCCACCCGCTTGAGAACGACAGACAGATAAGGAAGCGTAGACGGTAGGTCGCCGAATTCGCAGTCTTCTCGCCAGAACGGGTTCTTTGTGTCTGATTTGATGGTTGTTCGGGCTCGTACCTCGCCATCAAGAATCACCTCAGCCAAGTAGTTCCCAATCAGCTGCTCGGGATCATTGTTCATCGCTAACTTGCCATGATGCCGTTCATGGGTGCGCTCCTGAGGCAGCACAGGAACCGGGCTGCCGTCGGGTAGTATGCGGGGTTTGATTTTAGCCTCCGTAACGCGCAAGTTCAAGGTCTTCTCGAGACGGAACAGCTGCCGCTGCCGTGTACGAACAGGCGTCTCTGATGACCCCTTCTCTCCAAGCTCCACGAATTTCTCGTCTGGGGTTGGTGGTGCCGAATCGTCCTCGACGGCTTCCTCTCGCTCGGTCTGCATGTCCGTTATAGAATACACTTGGTTGTCCTTGGACCGATCCAATACGTAAACGTCAGGGACAGCAAAGGCTCGTAATAAGACAAACCACACCTCAAAGGCAACTCGTGAATCGAGGGCGATGTAGACAGGACGGAAAATGGATAGGTGCGTTGATGTTGGTGCGTAGATGGGGAAAATGGCGATGCAATAGTCGTCGTCGAGCACTGACTTGTCCAACTGTTGGATGGCGCAGCGACTGAGCTGAGCAAGCTCAATGACTGATAAAATTGTGACATCGTTTTCCGTCATGAGCTTGAATTCACCATTACCTTGCAATATGCAGGAGACACGGCGCCATGATGTCTGTACGGATCTGAGGTCACGCGTGGAAGGCCGCTTCACAATGGCGCGTGGTGATGTAGCGGCGCCCTTGTCCCACAGCATGACCTTGCCGACCTTGATGATGGCTCCTTCTTTGACCTTTGCCGCCGACGCCCGGCGTTTACCAGAGTCAATGGTGGACGAGCTCGCGCTACGGCTATTCGGCGGTTTGGAAGTGGCTGGAGGGGCGGCCACGACGCCCGGGCTCAGACGTAGCTGCTGCCAGCAGAGAAGTGCGGCGAGCCATAGATCAAATTCGGTGGCCACAAGAGGCCGAAAGACGATCTCTGTTGTCGCTTGGGCATTGGCAAGCTCCAAGCACCTGCCGTCTTTATCGGGCCGGACTGCGGGCACAACACGGCAGCCGCGAAGGTCGGCCACCAATGCCATATGGAACGGACCATGGTCACCGGCGTCGAACATGAGGCTGCCCTTCTCTTCTTCAATATACGACATGCCGTGGTGCCACGACTCCTCTCCCAGGTTCCGGTATTCAATTTCACCGCGCATCCTTCCACAAAGATTTTTCATGAGCATGAGCACCTTGTTGGCATTGTCGGTCGGGATTGGTAGTGGTAATGAATCGACGGATGGTGGTGGTGAAATGAGGGGCGAGGTCGGACGAGACGTGGATCTCTTTATGAGCCGCCTACTAGAGGACTTTTTGTCTCTTGACGAAGTGGCCGAGGGAGTAGAGGACACGAAACCTGTCCCGCCAATAGATGAGACGCTGCCGGCGGACGAGGACGCCGTGATGCCGCCAAAGGGAGCTGACGTCGGCGTGGGCTGGGTCTCAGAGGATCTGGTGGCGGCGATGTGGGGATAGCTGAGCAGCGACTCAAGCGGGGGTCCTTGCAGCGAGGACGTCGAGCGAAAGGTGCTATCGACCGTGCCTGACGAAGAGAACGAGCCAACCCTATTCCTGCTCTCGGGAGAGGTGCTGGAGACAAGGGGTTCGCGAAATAAAGAAACACCATCCATGGTGTACGTCCGAGGACGCAATACGGCGGGCCGGGACGGGGGACTGGACTCAGAAATGGTGCTGTCAAAGGGGCTGGCCATGGTGTCGCTGAAAACAACACCCTGTCGACGACTGGTTGTGCTGCCATGGTGGGACAGAGCTCTTGGTGAGCCCTGTGGCGACATGGATCCAAATACGCGTGGTGGTAGGGGAGGTACTGTGGACGAAGAGATGCCGGAATAGGCGGTGGCCGCATCCAACAGGTCTTGTGTGACGATTGTGCTGTGGTCGAGGAGTTCAGGTGTGACGGCTCGAATCGTAGGCTGCATGGTGGGTACCGAGGCAGGGGGTGTTGTGTCGCTCGGTGCTGTGGAGGTGTTGGTATTGATAACAGTTGTCTGGGAGGAGACAGACGGCAGC